TTATAGGCTGCAACTGCAATGGTATCCAAAGATTGTAATCTCATCAGGCCTGTTTCTTCTGCCTGCTGTTTCTACTATCTCTTTCCCTTTCTCTCCACTACCCATTTCTTCTTTCTGTTCTGTAACAGTAGTTTAGCTTGTGGCAGTACTTCAAAGTAGGGAATGAGAAAAGGAAATGGGGGGAAGTGGTTGAACTTGTTGGCAGGGGAGGCAGGTTGGGGGAAGGATTTCAGGCTTCAGATGCAAAGACAAACTCATATTTAAAAAGGAGAAATCCCAATAACCACTGTGTTAAAGGAAAAGAGAAATGGGGGAAAAGATAGTGAAAATCTTCCTCTCGCATACACATTCCTCTTTTTATTTATGTACATAAGGGATTTCTCTGAGTCACTGAGGATTGGATCCTAGCTGTGCACCACTGAGAGCCAATACCCAGCTGTGGTAATACCAGCAAAAGCCCATACAGATCAAGGATTTGGACAATTACTGTCCATAGCAATAGGTTATTAAAAGAGCCTACAAATAACCAATCTCTTGTAGCTTATTGCTATGTTGTATAGCAGAGAGTCCTGGTATAGTTAGCCCCATTCTTGTGCTTTTCTGTGAGCTTCATAGGGACACATTTCACTTTGTTATGCTGCCATTAAACCTTAATATGTGGGGGGTGTCTCATCCCTTATTTTGTGGCTTTTATAGCGGTCTGTTGCTTAGAATGTAGCAGGCTGTTTCTGACACTCTCTCATGTTGCCATAGTGCTTGTCAAATTATCAATGAGTTAGCTTTTCATTGGCAGAATAGTTCCTTTCTTAGGACTGCTGTTGGATATATGTCCTGATTGGTTGTGCCCATGTACCTTTCCACAGCTAACTGTGGTATTGTTCTACCATCCTCCATCTGTGTCATTAGCCCCGTACAATCAGTGTGTCCCTTCCCTAATTGTTCATGTGATACATAGAGCTGATGCTCCTACACTGAAGCAGGTGTTAGTGGAAAATAGCTGCTATAGAGTATTTAACATGACAAGGCTATGAATTATGCAAATTTTACCCCAATTATCTTCACTCACTGCCCTTCATATGCCCTAGTTGTTCTGTGATAGGAAGTGAAAGGAATGTGCAAAGAGAAGACACCCTATCACATTCTGCCTGGGCAGTACATGATATAGCACATCTGCAAACACTTACCTGCAAAACCAATATGCCTTGCATTGTCTGGGCACAAACTCCCTGCCTAATAATTAATGTCAGATGGGATTGGCTGCATTGTATTGGAATATAGCATCAGTATACATTTGAAAAATCAAACCATGGCTAAAACAAACCCTGTGGCATCAAATAAACATTCCAGTACTGCAAAATGTGAGTACTATATAAAATTTCCCTGAAATGTTATAATTTGTGCTTGAAGCATTAACACAATTCACTGTGTTGCAGAGCAATACACATTCCTCAAACAGTAATAGAGCGTCTCTTTAAAATGGATCCTACTTGGTGGTGCAGCATGAACATCCAGAATAACAAGACTGTTGTGTTACTCTTCTCATTGCCATTCTACTTCTATCCCAGGAGAGAAATTAAAATAGTTCCTGAAACATATAGCAAAGCTATAAACCATGTAAAGCAATATCAACATTTCCCAGAAGCTCTATTTATTATATTACCAACTTTTTTATTCATGAACTTTGCTCTAATTGTGTTAGTATCAAAGTATATTATTTTTATTGATGATAATAGTGTATGAAAGTAATTATGCTAGTGATTTTAGCATATTAGCTTATTTGTGATACTGATAAAATGTAAGCTTTAAAAATTCATAACAAGTACAATTTGCATATTACAAATTAATATAGTTTTGCTTCCTAGACATATTTGTTTAACACTCCATAATATTCTTGTAGGGCCTGAGCCTGAATTTCTTGTGCAACTAAATGTCATGTTTAATTCAGTAAGACTGTTAGGATGCACAAAAAAAGAAAAAGTGGGCCTATAACCTACCATAGTGGGTTTTTTTTATTCCTGTACTTCAATTGTAAACTCTTTGGGGCAGGGACTAGCTTTTTATTCTGTGAGTGATTCTCCTTCCTATGTGCTACAGTCATGCAAATTTATAATAATAATGGAAAGTATTTCTGCCAGTGAGATGCTGTAGAGTATTCTCTGAGACAATGGAAGCCTTAGCATCTTGAATAAAACACTGGAAAATATACAATAAGTATTATCCTGTATTGCCAGTGGGATGGACTGGATGATCTAGTAGGTCTTTTCCATCTCTATCATCTATGATTCAGTATAAGCCTGATTCAAAGGTCATTGGTCAGTTGAAAGAGTCCAATTTATTTCAATGGGATTTTAATCAGATCCTACAAGCATTCCAGACTTTGCACTGCTTTTTCTGTGTTCAAGTTAATTCCAAATAACAAAAAGAGGATTTCCATTGTACTGCACATGAATATTAGGGGTATTTTATAATACTAACTGCATTTTATTTTTACATATTATTTTAGTACAAGGAATGTTCAAGGGTAGTTTCAAGAAATATGAGCTTGTATTATTTAAAGCAGACTATAAAAAAATCCATAGTACCTTCGAACCTATATCAACAAAAGTATTATAGTTAAATATTAGACTGAGGAATTTGGTAAATAAGTTCAGCAACTTGTATTAAATCTGATGCATACTCTCATGGGAAGTTGTTTGACTGAGAAAATTCATGTATAATACTACAGTTACAAGTTTAACCACAGATTTGACTCCGAGGTTATGGATTGTGTTGCATAATAGGTAGGTTGAGGTCATTTATCACTTCTCTGTCATGCTCCTTGGTTAGCATACTGGGGCTGTGGTGCTACATATCGAATCCCTAATCCATTTGGGTTAAGAATGACATTTGGGGCATTATCATAATGGATATGTTAGTGTTCCTCCAATAGAGTTTTACAAAATGTGATTAGATTGTTATAGGATTATTATATGGGGCAGAAGCGGGACAGAAAGAGTATCTTTAGACTGATAAATAATATAGCATTTTCAAAGTGTAGGATTTTTTTTTACCTCGCCTCTTTTGAAGTTAAATAAGATTTGTCCTCTAGCGCTGGAGTAAAGTGAACATCTATATTCACTAAAATTTAGTTTTACATCCACACAATACATTGATACTTTTTGTTTACTTATTTTAATATTTACAGACTTCATTTTCCTATCTAAGCCAGCACATTGCCTGCAAAGTATTTCTTCAGTTGAAATATTTTTTCATGGGATGATTTGAGAAACAAGTAAAACTGATACTGTAGAACAATGCTCTTCTTTCGTACACCACTACCCCGATATAACGCGACCCGATATAACACAAATTTGGACATAATGCGGTAAAGCAGCGGGGGGGGGGGGGGGGGGGGGGGGGGCTGTGTGCTCCGGCGGATCAAAGCAAGTTTGATATAACTCGATTTCACCTATAACACGGTAAGATTTTTTGGCTCCCGAGGACAGCGTTATATCGGGGTAGAGGTGTATTTCCAACTACAGTAAAAGGAATTTTAATTAAACTAATTCTAATTCTGCAACACTTGTGGCTTTATTAAGGAAATCCCAAGGTACTGCTATCACAATTGCACTGTCATCACTGCAGCACATTGCAACTTGACTCTTTTTTTATGTCTCTTCTGACCTAACTCACTCAAATAATGGTCCAGATCCTTCCTGCTCCTGCCTCAGGCTCAAATCCTCCCTTTTTCCGCAGGTTAGAGTAAAAGAAGAGTCACTCTGTGGCTACTACTGTAACCCTGTGACTGCAGTGGCTGCTGCTTGCCCCACAAGGACCATGTCTATCTTTCCTTTGTGTTTGGAAAATGCTTAGTGCATTCTGGGCATTACTACAGTCTAATTAGTAACAATGTATCTTTCCAGTACTCTTGCTCATGTCCCTGATGTATAGGACATGCAGAGAGTCACCAGAGAGATTGGATCTATAGTGGACTTGGAATGTGGACCCTCTGTGCAAGGTCCCCACATCCTGCTCCATTACCCCATGCAAATGAGTAGAATAACACCAGTTCTGCAGAAGGCCATTGAGTAGGGAACAGGATTTCCTTCCATATTTTAAAAAGAGTTTTTTAACTGCTTTCTATTGTACTCTATGGAGAAACATTGTATACAACCACAGAATAGGAATGTGGTATCTTTTGTTCTCAGAAGTGCTGCAAGTAAAGCACAATTTAATAACGAGAGTACACCTCTACCCCGATATAACACAAATTCGGATATAACGCGGTAAAGCAGCGCTCTGGGGAGGTGGGGCTGTGCGCTCCAGTGGATCAAAGCAAGTTCAATATAAAGCGGTTTCACCTATAATGCGGTAAGATTTTTTGGCTCCCGAGGACAGCGTTATATCGGGGTAGAAGTGTAGTAATTAATACCATGATACTCATCATGCTGACCCTGAACTTAAGGAAGAGAAGAAAGAAAATAGTGAGAGAAGAAAGAAAAATTTAAAAAAATGAAGGCAAAGAAAAAATTGTAAAGGAAAGAAATGGGAGGAAAGTGAGATTGAAATGAGAAAGGGGAGAAATAAAGAGAAGTGGACCAAAATCATTGTTTCTTTATTATTGGTATCATGTATAATTGTCACAGAGAAAATTAAGTGGGTGACTAAAATTTGCTTTCTTGTAGGCCCCAAGACAAATGACTAAGAAATTTAGATGCACCATTCCCATTAATTTCAATGGAACTTGGAAGTCCAAATTCCTGAGGCAGCTTGCAAAACATCACCCTAAGAATCTTTTAAACCTACAGTATCTTGATTAGACCAAAAACTCTTGGCGCGATGGTCTGTTTCTTCAAATGTGTTTTCAGAATGCCTATGAGAATGGGACTGTGATTCTAATTAGGGCCTCTGGGTGCTAAAGGAATAGAGACTTTAAATATAATAATATTTTTATGTATCATGTGGTTGATAGCACTCAAGGTTATTTTTACTATTCTGTTTCTCTCTCTGATTTTTTTTAGACACCTTATGTGATGCTCACTGGAACAGGTTCTAACCAGTTTGCTGAGAAGCTAGGCATACCTCAAGTGCCTGTAGAAGAGTTAGTAACAGACCATGCCAAAGCTGAATGGGAGCAATACCGCAAATACAAGCAGACTGTCAAATCACTTTTTAACACAGAATTGTAAGTAGCAATTATGGATATGTTACTGATATGGTTGACACAAACACTAAATTGGATTTATGCCTTTTGAATGAAGCTGCAAATACTAGTATGTCTGCACAAAAGGAAAGGAAAATGTAACATAAATTGTCACATCATATTTGATTTTGTATATTTCTTGTTTTAGCAAAACAAGGAATGGAACATGGAAACTGAAGAAAGTCTTTGCTACCTAGTGATTTCTTAAAAAGTAAATTTTGTATTGGATCTAGTTAGGGCTAGATCTTGGACCACACTGTGCATATTGGGTTTGATGGCTGAACTGTTTTTCATAATTCACATAGCATGTGTACACATGAGGTGAACATTGAACTTTGAAGTACCAGTGGAAGCAAAGAGAGGGATTATGAGATCACATCTGGGTAATGGTTGAATTTAAGAGTTTGCTGGCTTAGAGGCAGTCAAAAATAATCTTCATCTAAGATTGAACTCCCAAAAGCCATCAAGTCAAAATGTAGTAACCACAAATGCATTCAGCTTGAGATGGTAGGCCCATGGACAAGCACTTCATCTTTATGGGACTAAGGAGAGACTCAGCTTCTGCAGGAGCAAACTGAGACAAAATAGGGAAAGTGGAAATAATTTTTTATTCAAAGTAACATCCAGCCCAATGATGTTAGCAGTATTTGTCTTTGTAGGAAATCTTGTCTCCTAGTATTAACTAATTACGTGGATTCATATATTGTACAGTAAAAGGAAATTTCTAAATTTCAGTAGTCACAGAAAAAAATATAGGACTGTCTCAGTATCTTTGTGATAATGTTGCAATGGTCATTAATCATGTTTTAATTCAATGTTTCCCTGATAGAAATCTGACTCATTAAGCCACCCACAGATCAGTTTACTGAGAGTTCAACATCATTATGTAACTAATACAGCTGAGTATGATACAATGAAGCCACAGATTAACATTTTTTATAAGGAGAAAGGTAGAATTATTCTCTCTGATCTGTTGTTTTCAAATAGTGCTTTAAAAAAAAAAGCACCTATGTAATTATCTGCACAAGCCTTCAATGTGTTAAATCTATTTATCAGTCTAAGCAAACATTTTAAATAAAAAAAAAACTAGTGTGGTGGTATGGTAATCATTGTTGCTAGGATTTTCATCTGGACAAAAGTCTAAAATATATTATAGTTTAAAACTGGTATGTTCTTTGATTGACTACTATATATTTTAAAATATCCAATGGAGATATGTAGTTATAACCAATGTGAATTTTGGCTCAAATCATCCCCTATTCAGGAAAAAAAAATCAATATAGGGCACTAGATTTCTGTGAGCTCACAGTGTAATACAGAGGTTAAGACAGTAAATGTGGCCCTTGGATTTATAAGAAGAGGACTAATAAGTAGAAGTAGGAAGGTGTTGTTACCACTGTATATGACACTAGTGAGACCATTACTGGAATATGGTGTTGCATTCTGCTGTGGACACAAGATGTTGACAAATGGGTAGCACTCAGAAAAGTGTGACTAGAACTACTCAAGGTCTGGAAAACCAAGCTTACAATGGGATAAAGAAGCTCACTCTATTGATCCCAGGCCAATGGGGGCTGTGGAGAGTGGCATGGGCAGAGGGATGTGCTGGCCACCGCTTCCCGTCGCCCCCATTGGCCTGGGACGGCGAACCGCGGCCAGTGGGAGCCACGATCGGCTGAACCTGTGGACGCGGCTGGTAAACAAACTGGCCCGGCCCACCAGGGGCCTTCCCCTGGCAGGCTGCGTGCCAAAGGTTGCCAATCCCTGATGTAATCTATAATTTTAGACTGACTTGTATTAGAGGCATTACATTAAAGTTCAGATAAAACAATACAGTAAGAGGTTATTACATACAGCAAAGTAAACTCTCTATACAGTGTAGAACAGGGGGCTCACCTGAGCTAATCACATAACATTAGATTGGGTTCTTTGTAAACTGACAGTGCTGGCCAGCCTCTTGAGTTAGTAGTGACAATGAGTTGTTTCGCCAAGTGGCAATGTGTTTCAAAATAAATTCATCCCCCATTCCCTTCAGTCCTCGTTTCTTATATCTTCCTTTCTATCTTACAAACTGGAATGTAGAAAATGTATCTTTTTCTTTAGACATCCTTTCTTCACTCCAATTTCCTCTAATTTTCTCTCTCCTTTGCAATAGTCTTGCTCTCCTTATCTCCCTTCTCCTGTTCTCAATCCTTTTTTTTATCTCCTGCTCTTTCTGCTCATCTTCCTCCCCATCAAATTCCCAGTTCTTTCCCCTTCCACTTCTGATTGCCCAACTCTATTTACATAACTTATAATACTATAAACTAAACATTTATTTTACTATTCTATAGTAACACTGGTCGAAATTCTCTGCTAGTGCAATTCCCTTGAGCTCAATTGAGCTGAACCCATATACATCAGCAGAAAATTTAGCCCACTGTTGTACATGTGGATAGCACCTTCCCTCCTGCAGGATCTCAAATCATAGGTGCAATCACACAGAGTGTAAGGGACAACACAAAATTGTTTACTATGGTGATGCTCTTTTTTAGGCCATTAGTAAGTAACCACTCTCACAACAGTACCATGTATCTCTCAGCTGTATCTCCACTGATGGAAACCTGAATGGAGCTGAGACATCTGATTTTTTTAAAATTCCTCTCCTTTCCTTTCCCCCATCCTTTTATACATTATGCCATGTTTCAAGCTGCCGTACCTGACCTCACAGCCTTCCACTAACAGGATTAACAAACACAGTAAAATGGGAAGTCATTGCTCATTCCTACATTACTTGGGGGCGGAATCTGGATTTTTATCATGGATTGTTGATGAATTTGGCATTTTAGGACCAAGTTCAAACACAGATTCCACTGTCTATACAAGCACTGGATTGAGGGGCTGGTGTTCAAACAGTGATAGGTGCTCACAACCTCCACTTCTCCAATGGGCCTGCAGCCAGCGCTTCCCGAAAAGCTGGGTGCTCTGGACAGGGAAGTGGCATGATCAGAGTGTCTCTAGGAACATTAGTCACAAGTTAGGACTCCCCTGGGAAATGGAGGACTGTAAACATAACTTTCTCTCCTCCGTAGTAGCTTTCCCCACTGGTGCAGAGGAGTGATTCAAGCCCTACACCTTTTATTTAGTTTGCAAATGCACAAAATTAAACATTTGGAGGGATGCTGGGTCTTAGGGAGACATTCAGCTCAGCATACCCTTTCCCCTCAGTTTGTGGGGAGAGAAAGCTATAACTCATTTTATAAATTCATGTCACATCATGATCCAGCTCCTCTATCTTGCCAAAGCTCCTCCTGCAAAGAAAAAGAGGTTTAAAAGGCAAACCTATTCTGTGTCCATCTTAGAGTGTTAGCTCCTCAGTACAGTGACCTATTTTCTTTGTCACAGGTGTGCATGGTGTTTTACAGGCAATATAGAAATAACCACCTACAACACCTCTGAAGTGTTGCCCCACTGGTGAAGAGATCAGCTGGTGCACAGCACAGCATGCCGTACAACAGTGGAGGGACTTGAGTCAAAGACACTATGATAAACCACTATTTTATGCAGAATTAATGTCCTAGCACAGCCCAGACAACTTCATTTTGTCAGGCCTCCTCTGAAACTTAACCATTTAGCTCCCGCCAAAGATATCTAGCTCAAAAGGATAAAGAATTTTGTGAAGCTGTTGTTCTAGGAATCTAGATATTTCAAACCTAATCCTTATCACTGCAAAGCCATTCCCTCGAGCTCCCACTTCCTTCATGCTGCTTGTACAAAAAAAATGCAAAAACCAACCAAACAAAAAAACCACACACACGCTTTACCGAGAGAGGTATAAAGTAAAAAGAAAAGAAAGGGAGATTGAGAGAATGGATTCTGTTGCTCAAAGCGAAGGGGAATAGAGTGTTGTTCCAGTCCACAAGTAGCCCACCTACTTTATTGCTGAGCTCCTCTCACCTCCTTCCCACATCAGTGGTAAGATAGCCAGCTCTCAGCAGTGCTGCCATTGGCTGACAGCCAGTTCCTGCACTCACCTGACCATTCAGAGTGCAGAGGCAGAGTTAATGCTGATTCAAGAAGTATTAAATTGACCAGATATTTTCCTGTGGTATTTAAAAAGCATGTTCTCCATCACAGTAGACTAGAGAGGCAAAGTGGTCAAATGACTAGGGTACTGGACTAGCAATTGGGAGACAGTAGGTCTGTTCTTTGCCCTGCCATTTATCTATTTTGTGACCTTAGGCAAGTCATTTTGCCACTCTTCTCTCCCACCATTTGTCTGTCTTGTCGATTTAGATCTTTAGGGCAGTGACTGTCTCTTACTATGTGTGTATATAGCACCTACCACAGTGGGGCCCTGATCTCAATTGGGCACCTCTAGGAACTACTCTAATATAAACAATAGAGACTGTTCTTTTGCCCATGGCCCCTTTTTGGTTGTATGGAGTTACTGCTGCCTCAAGCGCCACAGCAGTAACAAGAGGGAATATCTGTCTTTCCTTCAGCCCAGCTCCCTCCCATTTCTGAGATTTTTCTCTTTTCCATAACATGTAGTAAGGAGGGACTAAGGGCTTGTCTACACTTAAAATGTTACAGCAGCGCAGCTGCACTGCTGTAGTGCTTCAGTGTAGACACTACCTATGCTGACAGGAGAGGTTCTTCCATCAGAGGTAATGCACCTCCCTGAGAGGCAGAGGATTTTTGTGTTGACCTAGTGCTGTCTACACAGAGACTTAAATTGGCTTAACTATGCCATTTAAGGGTGTGGATTTTTTACACCCTGAGAATGTAGTTAAATCAACCTAATTTGCTAGTAAACTAGGCCTAAGGTGTTCCCCTAAAGATGTTAGAGAATAGGGTTTATAGTGATACTGTTTCTTGAAGCGTGCAGCATTTGCTTGAGTTGTTGTAAATATGGTTTGAGATTATCAAAAGCTGCACTGAGATCAGAGACCTGTAATCTGAAGTAAGAATAGGCTGTTTAATGAAGAACATTGAAAGTT